TGGTGAGGCTGCCAGTTTGGACCAAAAAGCAGCTGAAAAATATGTGCAGGAATTCAAGGAGTACATAGACAGTGAAGGACTGAAACCTGAACAAGTGTTTAATGGTGACACTGACAATGTTGTGAAACACTTTAGGAATGTCATAAAGGAACGGGAGGTACAGGCCTCTATGGGCAGATATGTTGTGCGACAGAGGTCCAGTGACTCTCAAGCTGGTCCTAGTGGCATTAAAAGAAGGGAAGTAACCCCAAAAAAGGACTTGCCACCTCAAGTCCTAATGGAAGGGGATTCCCCTTCTAAACACTAAGACCATCAACACACTCCCCTCTTCCCATCCCATCAATCATCACCAGATCTTCAATAAAGGTAAGTGTCATGTAACTGTGCATGTCTTCTTCAGTTTGTGTGTATTAAAATTAATATTTCATGTGTTAATTTTTTTTTCAATACTTTTGGGTGTCTTGCACGGATTAATTTGATTTCCATTATTTCTTATGGGGAAAATTAATTTGACTAACGATGAGCTCTCAGGAATGGATTAATAGCGTTAGTCAAGGGTCCACTGTATATGGCAAGCCCAAGCCAGGAACTGGAAACAAGTCACTTTGTCTGACTTTTTTGGGTTATCCTAGGTTCTCTACACATATGCTGATATGTATGATAATCTATGTAACTGTATTTGTGTATACCTGAATAAACTTACTTATTTACTTCTAGTCTGTTGACTGAGTACAAGAAACTGCCCATTCACCTATTTCAACTACCCAGTAAAGTGGTCAGAAATTGGCAATTTGGCCAATTTCACAGATGGCAATTTCAAAATAGGGTCCAGAATAAACAATGCAGACATTCCTGGCACTAAAATAACATTTTCTCTATTCATTAGTCATGGCTCCAGGCCCCACTTATATTACTCTTGCTTACCATTTGGAAATTTTTAGTCACACAAAAAAATGGAAGATTTACTGTTATGCAGACTACTGCATTATTGCAATAATTGTATAAATAATGTCAGCCCATTCTTGACTCCGTATTGGAATTTGGACTGGCAGGTGGACAGGTATTGGATGGTGACGTCATTTGTTTACTCAGGCTTCGCTAAAGAATAGAACATTTCTGCTACTGTGAGCGCAATTTCAAGGTACTTTTCGTCATGAAAGCAATCAAAGTGATATCTATTTCTGTTATATATCTTCCATTCTATCAAATGAGACCAAAAAAAAAAAAAAAAGAGAATATAACCATAAAAACCATACAAAAATATACCGCTAAGCGGCCTTTTATGGCTTGAGAGGTGAACTCCGCTATTTATGGTCTGATTTCTTTCATTTTTGCTGTACGTTAAGAAGTATCTTTCCATCATATATTGCCCAAATTTTTTTCAATAATATAACCCAACAAACAATTGAGACAACAACAACAATAATAATAATATCTTTATTTACTACACGTACATGTACAAGGTATACAGGCCTAGCTGACATCAGTGACATACTACTGTATAGAAAGCCACTTGTTATGCAGAGTATTTCAAGCAAATTAGGTCAGTGTCCCAGGATGCGACCCACACCAGTCAACTAACACCCAGGTACCCATTTACTGATGGGTAAACATAGACAACAGGTGTAAAGAAACACGCCCAATGTTTCTACCCTGGCTGGGAATCGAATATTTACAAAAAATCATATATGGCTAACCCAAGCCAGGTACTAGAAATAAGCCACATTGTCTGACTTTTTTTTGGGTTATCCTAGGTTCTCTACACATATGCTGCTATGTGTGGTAATCTATATAGAGAAAATAGCTTTTTTTGTTTCAGGTTTATGGTGCAGTACTAGAGTATATCATGGTTAGCCCTGTGCCTTACTCTGCTTTCTCCAAGACAGGGATAGGAGAATGGTACTTGTATCCCATGTCCTTTTCATACCTCCGTCGAACTGCTTGGTATTATGCCAAATATTTATTCTGGAGCATTTAACATGTTTTATGTTATTTATATTGTTTATTATGTCATATTAGATCAATTGTGATAGGCAATAAGCTGTAGTGTTGATATTAGTGTAATAAAGCATATTCTCCTGCATCATGAGACTGAGCTCATGGCAACTGACAGTGGCTTCAAAGCCACCTTATCTTTAACCCCAAGGCCCAAATCTGAAGTGGTGCCCCAGTGTCCAAGAATTTAAAAAAAAAATGTTATTTTTTCTTATGAAATGGTAGAGAATCTTTTTGTGAAGGTAATAAAACAAAAAGTACGAAATTTGATGGAAAATTGACGAAATTATGCTCTCGCGAATTTTGATGTGTCAGCGATATTTACGAATCGGCAATTTTGCCGACTTTGACTCCCATTTTAGGCCAATTACATTATTCCAGTCAACCAAATTCTTAGCTATTTCACTAGTATTACTTCTATTCTATCGATTGAGCACAAGAAATCGCCAAGTCAACTGTTTCAGCTACAAATTAAAAGTGATCGGAAATTGTTAATTTGGCCAATTTAACACGAAGTTCAAAATATTCCAATTTCAAAATAGGGTCCAGAATAAACAATGTAGGTATTCCTGGAACTAAACTAACATTTCCTCTGTTCGTTAGTTACAATTTGAGGCTTTACAAATAAATTCCATTTTGATTTTTTATTCGCATAATGAATATTTATTCACACCAAAAAATAGAAGATTTACTGTTATGCAATACTGTAATAATTGTATAAATATAATCACCATATTTGTGAATGCATATTAGACCCACCAGCTGGCGTGTATTAGACGTGTGAGGTCGTTTGTTTACTCTTGAATATCGGCAAAAATTTAACATTTCTGCTACTTTGAGCTCAGTTTCAAGAAATTTCCAGTGCTAAAACCAATCAAAATCATCTCTATTTCTGTAATATGTCTTCCATTCTATCAAATGAGACCAAGAAATCGCAAATACAACTATAAAAAACATACGAAAAAACACTGCAAAGTCACTGTTTTAATCGAAAAGTCATGATTTCAGTTTTTTTTCTCTTATTATACACAGTGTGCTGCAGGATCTGTTTTATGTGGTGCACACATACCACATAGATGTATTCTCTCATATCTAGGCCCAAATGTACCACTCACAGTTTATCAGAGTGAGCTGAGCTCACGACGTAGCTCTACAGTTTGGACCCTGAACGTAAAGCCGTAGATCTACGGGACAGACCCTGAAAGGGTTAATGGATAATGTACTGTGTAGGTGCTTTACATAACAAAAATCATTTCTTTTATTCATTGGAACCATGGCTAGGGCTTCAAGTAAGCAGGTTATAACAATAAATGGAGAAAAAGAAATTAGAATGACTTATGCATCAAGTAGCGCCACCAAACAGTACCAGCAGGTTGGTGTGGTGACCCTGGAAATTTGAAATTATGCTAGCCGAAATTAGTGCCAAATAACTGATTGCGGACCTGTATACACAATAAAATTTATTTCAATTAGTACTCCGATATGGAAAATGTGAGGAAATTATAACTATATTGGAGTATAAAACAAATTCCAACCACACAATAGAGCGAAAAACTAATGTCAAAGACCTGGGGATGATCATGTCAGAAGATCTCACCTTCAAGGACCATAACATTCTATCAATCGCATCTGCTAGACAAATGACAGGATAGATAATAAGAACCTTCAAAACCAGGGATGCCAAGCCCATGATGCCACTTCAGGCGCTTGTTCTATCTAGGCTGGAATATTGCTGCACACTAACAGCACTTTTCAAGGCAGGTGAAATTGCTGATCTAGAAAATGTAGAGAGAACCTTTACAGCACTCATAACTGCAATAAACCACCTCAGTTACTGGGAAAGCCTAAAGTTCCTAAACCTGTACTCCCTAGAATGCAGGAGGGAGTGTTACATGATTATATAGACCTGGAAAATCCTTGAGGGACTAGTACCAAACTTGCAATTGGCAGATGGTGCAACATCTTCCCAATGAAAAGCAGGGGTGCCACTAGCACGGTAAGAGAAACACAGTAAGTGTCAGGGGCCCAAGACTGCTCAACTGCCTCCCAGCATACATCAGCGGGATTACCAATAGACCCCTGGCTGCCTTTCAGCAGGCACTGGGCAGGCACCTAAAGTCAGTACCTGACCAGCTGGGCTGTGGTTCATATATTGGATTACATGTGGCCAGCAGTAACAGCCTGGTTGATCAGGCCTGATCCATCATGAGGCCTGGTCACAGACTGGGCCTCGGGGGTGTTGACCCCCAGAACTCTATCCAGGTATACTCCAGGTACATAAGAAATCTTAATCAGTAGTGCTGATAAAATTCAGTTTATTAAGCATATGAATTTCAGGTTTTTATTCAAATGGCAGAGGAATTTAAGCCTCTAGAGCAGTGGTCCCCCAACCTGCAGCCCATGGGCCACATGTGACCCTTCTAGGAAATGAATGTAACACTCGCATCCAGTGTCAACAAAATCGTGAGGCCCCTCATCACGCATTTGTCCATGAAATGTGACCCACTTGTGTAGGAAAGTTGAGGACCACTGACCTAAAGTATAGTACCCCTCTCCCTCGGTCTCTCACCACTCTCCATCCCTAGGATGTAACCCACAATACTTGACTAACACCCAGGTACCTGGTACATTAATAAGGTGTGTAACAGTTAGTCAAGTTAAAGTACTGTAAATTAGAGTACTGTACTTTAAAATTACTACACAGAAGTTCATTACTCTGTAATTTACAGTACTGTTACTTAACTGTAGTACCACAGGTTACAGTACCAGTATACTTAGTGTCTGGTTTATCTGCAACAGTGGACCAAGTCCACTACTTCAAAAGACAACCGGACAATCGTGAAATATTAATTTCATAATACAGTAGTTACCGTCAATAAGCATCATCATTCACCCCCTTCCCCTTATTAGTCCATTAATGAGAGGTTTTGCTGTCCCTAGTCTTAAACTGTTATCATTGCATCTTTTATTATTATATTATTAACTAATTATAATTGTTTCTACAGGTTGGCTTCATTGATTATATTGTGCACCCATTGTGGGAAACTTGGGCAGATTTGGTTCATCCAGATGCTCAAGATATCCTGGACACCCTGGAAGAGAACCGGGATTGGTATCAGAGCATGATCCCCATCTCTCCATCGTCTTCATCAAATGACCTTAAGGAGGAAGAGTACCAGGGGGATAACTCACAAGATGTGCCTGAGGAAGAACTTTGTGCCGCCGCTGATAGAATCCAGATTCAGTTTACGTTGGATGATGAGGAAAGTGGAAAACGAGCACCGCCAGATGGTGTTCAGGGTGAGGACCCTACAATGTGACCATTGGTAGCCTCATACTGCACCAAACTAAAGCGTAAAGTGATGAGGTGGCTACACCTCAAGTGACCAACCATATGGGAGGTGGGAACAATGTTCATCATAATCCCCCTCCATGCTAGTGGCCTCATCTTCAACTTTTACCTTCGTACCTCATGTTCTGAGATTTCTTTAATTGCCAGGTGGACACTGACCATCTGGCAAGCACCAGAGCCAGAATTGCAATTTAGTGAAAAGTATGTTGTGCAAACACTTGGGTGTGTTTGTTAGTGCAACTCCCTTGTGAGTCAAGTGTGTGTTTTGCCAAGTGTGCAGTGTGCGCCCTGCAGGTTCAGGGATGCTCGCGTGGGTTTGTCTGAGCTCCCCAAGACTGTGCCGTTCGCCCAGCCTCAGCTGAACTCTCCTTGCCTAGTGTGATCAATATTTTCTTTTAATAGTGGTGGAGATGTAGGTCACAACAGTGAACAGTGCCAAATTGTTCCTTTTAAATATGGACCCTGAGAGAGAATTATGTTTATCACAAATGAGTAAGCACAAGTTCAGGCGACGGCTTTGTGAGGACTGAGGCTTGTGTGTGGTACATATCAGATAGAGGCATTGATGGGCCCATAACTGGTGCTCACATAATTTTGAGTGTAAGGCATTACAAGCTCTTTCATCAAATAGGTACCTGACGGGGTTCCCTGCTCTTTATTCCCAAAGCAGTTGAGCTATCACAGAAGCCAAAGATAATTTATTGCTTCATGTTTGTGGTGGGGATTTTAGTCACTATTGTGACATCTAAGCTACTGCAAGGTACAAAGACTGAGAGGTTGCACAGTAGCAAGAGGGGGCAGTGGATCCTGTCAGGTATATGTCCATTGCAATTCGATCGGTCGTAACAGAAAAAAATGTACGAGATTTTAGAACCTCCTTTAATTTGCCGTTCAGTAGCTGAAAATTAATTAATTACACATTGGGTCTTTGTAATTTCTAATTCTGCCATTTTCATGCCGGGCTCATGAGTAGTTTTATTTTACAGTGTAACTTTTTCAGGTTTTAATCTTTTTTAGATGACTTATTTTGACACTGTCATAGATGTGGACAAACTTTATGTATTGTTTTTAATAACTTTTGAAATAGGTAGACTTGTAGTAATTTCCCCATGTGATAAGAGTATTGAGAACATAGTATGCACCATGTTGTACTCCATCAGTTGCTTCATGTCAGGTCCTCGGCCAAACTCTTGAATCAGGGCTTGAGACTTGCAAACAACTAAAGGGCCATCATATCCTCCCAAAATTAGTCATGTGTTATTAAAAATAATAATAAAAGGCTCTAACTTTCAAGCATCAGCTGCTCAAGCCGTGGCTTCAGAATTGTGCCCATAGTGTATGTGTTGCGTAGTTCTGGCTTTACCAAGTGGCCATGTATCGAGCCTCATTAACCTGTAGAAGAATGGGATGAAAATCCATCTTAAGATGGAGGGGAAGGGAAGGAGGAACATTTAGTTTGGCAGATGTTCCTCTTAACCAGACCTGAGGACTGGCTTCTACAACACCATTCACAAGACTGGAAATTACTGAAATTATTGAAATATTTTTACAATATAAATTTTTTGTCATTTACAACATGACAGTAGCTGTTCCTGTGTAATGGAGATGCAAATTTCTTCCACAAGTATTATTTGTGGTATAGTACTGTCGTTGTATATGTGCATGCATACTTATTTACATGTAAATGGACGAGCAAGTAATTACCCTGTGTATAATAAGAAAAAGGAGTATTTAAGCAGTACAGTATACTGTATCTTATTAATTATATAATTATTTTTATATATACATATATATTTTGTGTTAGTAACATTAGTTCATGCCTCAGGTCTAGGTGTAAAGTTGTAACAATCACAAAGGTGGAACATCTGTACAGACTAGATTGAAACTCTTTGTAATGTACTTCCTTATATGTCAATAATCCTCAAAAATATGTATTGAGATTCCTTATTTTATCATGATTTTTTTTAATTTTTTTTAGATTTATTCATCTTTCTCTCGCTCAAACTAGATTAATCATATCTCCTAAGACCAAGCCCCTGTAATTAAAAATACAAAGCACAATACAGTATCAGTGATGGATTCAGGATTGGCCAGTAGGATTCCTGCGTGTTTTCTGCTACACTATAACCTCATTTAAAGTTCTTTATTATGTCTTCAACCTCCCTTAAAATGACTGATTTTGGAGATTACATTTCCAAGACATGCTAGAACATTTTTAGTGTTTCACACCTACCATGCACAAAAATGGCATTTTATTTAGTCCTGTTATCCAACATCGGTACAACAAGTGTGCACCTACTGGCTGAAGCTGAATCTAGCAACTGCAGGATTTCTGAATTATTCTCTGCAAGAGATGATAATACAGCACAGTACTCGTAGTTCTGTCAAATATTTTTCTATTTAAAAACATTTCTCTGCATTTTTTGCTATTTTAAAAAAAGTGAAGTGCCACAATTTCTCAGCTCCTCATAAACCTAGCTAAAATACCTGAGTAACTTTAAACAAGTCATTAATGTATGGCTAAGTAATGGCAAAGTGCTTGTGCTAATGGAAGATGTGCAGTCATGGCATATATTAGATAGTGCAATTAATTCACTTGCAATGGTGAATATATTTGTCAGTGTGTATTTAGATACCTGAGTTACTTGAATTCTCCTTGATGTGAAGACTTGTATATTTTTTTCAGTGTCATCAAGTAAGTACTGAACGTTTCTCAGTGTCAGGTGAAATTAAGCAAGCAAGACTGTAGTATTCCACTGTGTACACTACATGTGATCTAATGAAGCATTTTGACTTAGTCAAGTGCACCATTAAGTTTTATTTTTACATATATGGGAAGCAAACTTTACTGAGGTATTCTTCTATCAATCCAACCAATATTCAATTTCATTGAGACTGCAACTTTGTGTTTACAGTACTGTATCTTTTATTGAGACTTTTGTTTACCTCACAAACCAGCGTATAATACAGTAAACTCTGGATATAGTGGACCATATATAACAGATTTCTGAAATACTAGACAGAATCCACTGAGTAAATTGTACTTTTAGTTCCTTTATTTTCAGTGTTCCTCAGAGTATTTGTAAATTGTCTACATTAGTTTTATTTATAGATTATTGCTTTTTTTTTTTTTTTGTTATTCTGATTTAACGAACACTCGGACAGTCCCCAACTAGTGTATTATATTGAGAATTTACTGTATTTGAATATAATTTTGACCGCCCTGTTTACTTTATATATTTTTTTTTTATATTGCCATTTATGAACGAAGTGGTTGGATTTGTAGCAAGACACGAGACCTCAGCTGAGAAGCGACACAGAAAAAGCCATGGTCCTACTGACACTCTGTGAATAATATATTGATTACAAACTAAAGCCTTCTGTGTGTTTTATGTATGTCATCATTTGGCACTTGAATTTCTTAAATCATAGAAAATGTAATTACTGTTCTATGTATTTATTACCTTCATGGCACAGTGAGAGGTTTCCTACTAAGTGAAACCTCATCATTCTTTGGTGATGAACATGTACACGAAGCAAAGAAAAATGCAGCAAAAAAGATTTGTAGGTTTATATTTGTATAAGACTTTGAGGTTGTGTTGATTATTACTTCAGACTGTCTTCATTTTGTAATACTACATTTTTTATAAGTGCTTGGTAAGAACATCTTACAAGGTGAAAAATGAAATCTTGTCATTTAATTTACGATTGTATTGCCGTTGATTTTTATCTATTGGGTTTAAAATGATAAACATCAAATGTTAGACTACATACATTTAAATGTTAATGATTTGTGAAGAATTTGTTAATGTAAATTTTTTATCTATGACAGTTTTTACATTGAAAGTCTTTTTAATGACCATCTTGGGCAGACTGGGACTGGTTTATTATTTGTGACTGGTATTCTCTGTGGGGCAAGAAAACCACAGTTGTTTGTGGGATGAGGAAGATTTAGCACCATGTACTCCTACAATATTGCTCTGGACGGCTATGTCAGGGATACAGCACACCCCTTGTGTGCCAGTGGAACATTTGGAGTCTAGCAGCATCTGTAGGATTTTCATCAAAGTATTTAATGCCACGTTTTATGTTAGTGAGGTGGGTGCCTTGATGCTGGTGAAGGGCTCTTTATCCAAGGAATTAGAGCTACCCTTCACTTCCTTGTAGATAAATGGTATAAAATACCAACATGATGGAAAAAAAGAAACAAATGCAGTATGATGCAATTTTTTATTGACAATGTTTCACCCATGATTGCGACTTGATCAAGTCCATTGTTCGGGTGAACCGTTGTCAATAAAGTATTGCATTATACATCTGTGCTTCATCATCTTTCACTTCCTCGGATCTAACTTGATTACCTATCATTCCCCAGGCGCTGTATGACCCCTATGGGTTTAGCGCTTCCTCTGAATATAATAATGTTAGCCCCCACTGCAGTGCCCATGGCCCCATGGGTGGTAGTGCCCCTGCCCCACCCCTGACAGTGGATGGCCGCCTGCTGTTATGACTCCATCACATTTTCGAACCTTTCAACCTGGTATGCTTAGTCAAATGTACAGTCTGTTGTGCCTATGTATATATGGGTAATATGAAATCCGTATAAATTATATAATTTTATGTATAATAGCTAGAATTATTTAATAAAATAAACTTTTTGAATAAATTGCATTTTCTTTGGCCTGTTTTTAGAGAAGAATTTTGCATTGGCACTATATAGCTCTTGTTCCAGGGAGCTGCACTCACCCTTCACTTGGATTAAACCTAATGGCCTCCCATTCTTTAGCTGATGTATGGCCCTCTGTGGGTTAGTGCTTCCCTATAAATGTGATAATTAAATTATTTTTCTCCATAGCAGCTGTCATTACTGTTTGTACTCGCCTATATATGGTTGCAGGTCTCAGCTCCTGCTCACTCCTGGCTTTGAGATAGAACCCCCTCTCCAAATCATTCCACGTCCTGACTAAGAAATACTTCGTAATGTCCCTATGACAGAGATAGCTATAGTTACACTTGCTCACATTTAATCAGCTAAGCAGGTGGTAGCACATCAATGCCTAGAAACATGCAGACATGGTCAAAAGGTTCAATTATTGTTCAGACCAAACATCAGAATGACAAGTGACTTTCATTATGGAATGATTGTTGGTGCTTGACAAGGTGGTTTGAGTATCTCAAACTGCTGATCTGGGATTTTCATATACAAATTCTTTTGAAGAGTTGAGAGAATAATGTGGAAAAACAAAACCTCCAATGAGTGGCAGTTCTCTGAGTGAATATCTTAATGAGAGAGGGTTCAGAGGAGAATGGCCAGACTGGTTCAAGTTGACAGGATGGCAACAGTAACTCAGATAAGTGTGTTTTACAAGAGATGCACAAGAGCAGCTCTGAATGTGCTACAGCAGCAGAAGACGCACTGGGTTTCACTCCTGTCATTTTACAAAAGGAAACTGAGGTATGTTATGGAACAGGAGATTCGCAACATGAATGTGCAGCCAACAAACCTGCAGCAACTGTTATGCCAACATGGACCAGGATCTCTAAGAAATGTTTCCAGCACCTTGTTGAATCCATGCCACCAAGAATGCAGTCTGTCCTGAGGCCCTATGCAGTACTAGAAGGTGTACCTAATAAAGTGGCCACTGAGTGCATACTATATTTTATGAAACACTAAACCAGTGTTAGTTATTAAAAAACAGTATTTAAATATTAGCTATACAAAAAAAAAAAAAAATCCTCTTCTCGCATAGCTTCATAAATTAGAGAAATTTTTTTTTTTCCTGAAGTGGCTTATGCTGAGACTGGCTTCAACATGGTCAAGCAGCCAGCTTTAGTAGAACATTGCTCTCCTTGCCAGCACCTCCACGACCAGGGTTCTCTGGACGAATTCCATCTACAGTGACTACCATGCCTGTCACTGTCCTCTTGTTAGTCACTCAGAATAACCTAGGGAAGGTTATTCACCCCACAAAAACCAGGGGATGTTAGCCACTCATGATAACCCGGGGCAGCGTTAGCCACCAAGGATAATTCTGGGGAGAGATAACATGGAGGAGTGATAGTAGCCCTGGATAACCTGAGTGAGGGTTAGACACCCATAATAACCCAGGGGTGGGTTAGCCACCCAGGACAACTTTGGGGGGGGTGGATGTTAGCTACCCAGGATAATCCAGCGGAGGGTTAGTCACTCAGAATAACGTGGGAATCGTTAGTCCTTCAGGATAACCCTGGGGAGCATTATGGACCCAGGATAACTCCAGGAGGGTTAGTTACCCGGGATAACCCAGGAAGAGTTAGCAACCAATGATAATCTGGGTGAGCATTAGTCACCCAGGATAACCCAGGGGTGTTTGCTAAATAGGATAACCCGGGAAGGGTTAGTCACTCAGAATAACGAGGGAATCATTAGTCCCTCAGGATAACACTGGTGAGTGTTATGGACCCAGTATAATCGGGGGAGTGTTACAAACCAGGATAACTCTGGGAAATTTTAGCCACTCAGGATAATGAGGGGAAGTGTTGGCCACCAAAGATAACTTGGAGAAGGGTTAGCCAACCAGGATAACCCATTTTTTTAATCACCCAGGATAACCAGGGGAAGAATTAGCCACCAATGATTACCTGGGGAGGGTTAGTTACTCCAAATAAAAAAAAAAATCAATTCAATGTACATAAAAACACAAACTCTGGAATGCTCTGCCAGAAATCTCCATTAAAACACACCTTATCTCTTTGATCTATCCCAGCCCATCATAAATACATTTGTAAAAACTATACACGCATTTGCTCAATATCGTGAATGTAGGTAAAACATTATAATCAATATATACTTTCAATATCTGTAATCCTGTCAAATGTTAATGAATCCATTGTGTTAGCTTTGTTAATAATCAAAACTGTAATTTCTCTCTAACTTATTAAAGCCATAAAGCACAAACTAACAGAATATTCAGTTCTCTTGTATTCATTGTAAACTCATAAATTTAAGATTACACTCACCTAAGTGACCATACGTACAAAATTACTTATATCGTTATTGCCTTATTAATCTTAAGTAAGTTCTAAATTTGTGGGAAATGCTCTGCATGAAAAGGGTCTTTCTGCATGTACACTCAGTTGTTATACTCCTTTGTACTAACATGTATCATGCTGAAATAAGCTTCTTATTCTTATAACCCACTGGAGTGTTAACCACCAATGATAACCCAGGGGGAGGGTTAGCTACACAGGATAATCCGGTGGAGAATTAGTCACCCATGACAGTCTAGGGTGTGTTATCCACCCAGGATAATCCATGGAATGTTAGCCACACAGGATAACTCGGGGGGGGGGGGATTGTTAGTCATCGAGGATACCATAGGGAGGGTTATCAACCCAGGATAACCCTGGGTAGTGTTAGCAACATACCTGATGGAATATATTAAGAGTATTCAAGTGTACACTTTATCTGAAGTGCCTACATCACCATTTGTAAAGTACAGAATAAGTAGCTATAAGTATAACAAGATATACTGCAAGATATGTGTAGAAGCTTATCTCTTTAATAATTCAAGAGTCATTACCTGTAAAGATAACCACTTAGACACATTTGTTATTAAAGATCTCAATTCTCACTTACCTGGTTTATATTCATCCAGTTGTAATCCCAAAGAGCTACTGAGAAGCCTCTTAATGTTACAAGACTAGGATATACTGTACTAGATCTAACAACCTGTTACAAAACCATAAACAGGCTAGATATTAAAGGGGGATTATGTTGGCTTTCTAGTATGTATGTGTATACATACTTTACAGAAGTCCCATTTTGTAACAAGCACATGCTTACCTTAAGGGTTTTCTGGGGGTTAACGCCCACACGGCCCGACATACGAAACGTAGCCCAGTTGATCAGCAACTGTGGTAAGTAAGTACGTAAGTTTATTCAGGTATACACAAATACAGTTACATAATATAAAAATATTAATATCTTTATTTACTACACTCCTGAGTGGTGCACTTAGGAGTCTCTGGAGACAAAGAACTTTGTCCTTGGAGGCAAAGAGGGGAATGTATGAGAGTATAGTTTTACCAACGCTCTTATATGGGTGTGAAGCATGGGTGATGAATGTTGCAGCGAGGAGAAGGCTGGAGGCAGTGGAGATGTCATGTCTGAGAGCAATGTGTGGTGTGAATATAATGCAGAGAATTCGTAGTTTGGAAGTTAGGAGGAGGTGCGGGATTACCAAAACTGTTGTCCAGAGGGCTGAGGAAGGGTTGTTGAGGTGGTTCGGACATGTGGAGAGAATGGAGCGAAACAGAATAACTTCAAGAGTGTATCAGTCTGTAGTGGAAGGAAGGCGGGGTAGGGGTCGGCCTAGGAAAGGTTGGAGGGAGGGGGGTAAAGGAGGATTTGTGTGCGAGGGGCTTGGACTTCCAGCAGGCATGCGTGAGCGTGTTTGATAGGAATGAATGGAGACAAATGGTTTTTAATACTTGACGTGCTGTTGGAGTGTGAGCAAAGTAACATTTATGAAGGGGTTCAGGGAAACCGGCAAGCCGGACTCGAGTCCTGGAGATGGGAAGTACAGTGCCTGCACTCTGAAGGAGGGGTGTTAATGTTGCAGTTTAAAAACTGTAGTGTAAAGCACCCTTCTGGCAAGACAGTGATGGAGTGAATGATGGTGAAAGTTTTTCTTTTTCGGGCCACCCTGCCTTGGTGGGAATCGGCCAGTGTGATAAAAAAAAAAAATTTACTACAAGTACATATACAAGATATACAGGCCTAGCTAACATCAATGACATACTACTACTTGTTATGCATAGCATTTTGGGCAAATTAGGTCAGTTTTGTCCCAGGATGCAGCCCACACCAGTCGACTAACACCCAGGTACCCATTTTACTGATGGGTGAACATAAATAACCAATGTAAAGAAACATGCCCAATGTTTCTACATACTAGATTATCATACATAGCAGGATATGTGTAGAGAACCTAGGATAACCAAAAAAAATGCCAGAGTGACTTTTTTCCACTGGTGTTAGTATTAGATCAGAAATTATTGAATTAACTTGATTAACTGCACACTAAATGCCGAGTCATACTGGGATTTTGGTATCTCATTCATTTTTTTGCTGTTATCTGTGTAAGTCCCATCTCAAATTTTATTTTATTTTTTTTTTGTATGTAGTACATGTATTTTACATGTAGTAAAAGCATTGTTAGACATAAAAGAAAGCCACTAGTATGCAATGTATTTCAGGTAAACAAATCTGTCTCATGAACATGCTAGATAACAGAGGGATATCTTGCTACTCCTACTTACACTTTGGTCACACTTCACAGACACGCACATGCATATATATATATATATATATTTTTTATTTATTATCACACCGGCCGATTCCCACCAAGGCAGGGTGGCCCGAAAAAGAAAAACTTTCACCATCATTCACTCCATCACTGTCTTGCCAGAAGGGTGCTTTACACTACAGTTTTTAAACTGCAACATTAACACCCCTCCTTCAGAGTGCAGGCACTGTACTTCCCATCTCCAGGACTCAAGTCCGGCCTGCCGGTTTCCCTGAATCCCTTCATAAATGTTACTTTGCTCACACTCCAACAGCACGTCAAGTATTAAAAACCATTTGTCTCATTCACTCCTATCAAACACGCTCACGCATGCCTG